TTTTTTTTTTCCTCTAAGACCAGTCTTGTACAAATTACTCGAACTATGTAATTGATTACGATTACATTTATTCTTGGTTAAAAACGTATTTATTAGATTACGTGATTACTTGAGACAAAAAGTAATTGACCGTTACTCGAAAAAAAACAAAAACAACCGTTACGTCTTCAATTTTTTCGATTTTCCAATCGATAAATTGTTGTGCCGATTTTAAAACGGGTCTTTTCTGCTGTTCATTATTGGATTAGAATCACCGAATTATAAGCCGATTATCTTCTTCGTCAACCAATTTCGGTAAACCATCCTCCTGTCAGGGGTTTGGTTCGAGTATTCCTCGTATAGGAGGTATTCACTGGACGCCATATTTCAGGGCGATGTTTAGAGCGCATGCTCAGAACGAGCTCACATTAATAGCCTGCTAAGACCGGCAACCTTGATGGTGCTAAAGGCACGCTCCAAAAGGACTGCGGAAGCTCGCCGTCAGCACGCGCTCAGCAGCAGCGCACACGGATATGGCCGCCAGTGAATACTCCCTATATAAAACGTATTCGCAGCGAGAAGTTTGGGTATTGCCGCCTGGTGGAATTTGTTCGCGACCCAGAGTGAGGATTCCTCACCCTGGGAGTGAGGACTTCAGCTTCCTCTGCTGGTGTAAGCACGTGCGATGCCAAGCATCTACGCACTATGACAAATTAAAACATAACCATGTGGGTAGCACGTGCACTACCATGGTAGTGAGGAAAACAGGAGGAGCGACCCTAGCGAGCTTCTCTCGGTGGATACGAAAAAAATGGCGCCTCATTTGAAAGGGAAGGGGGAAAAAAGCGATGGTTACAAGTAATTTTAGTACTTCCAAAAGTAATGTGATTTATTTTGGAATTACTTTCTAATAAATGTAATCAAATAATTACAAGTAATTTGATTACTTGTAATGAGTATGCCGTACAACTTTGTCTAAGACTGAGTGGTTTATGTGGCAACCATCTTGGGAATGTGTCGAGTTCGGAGGATCGGTGTGCGAGTGTGTTAACGAACCACGGCTCGAAGAGCGTGTAGGGAAAGTTCGCGCTGCATAATCAGCTTCGCAGCATTCCTCATTGTACGAGGTCTGTTTCGAAGGGATAGTTAGCTCCGTTAAGTGCGCTGTTTACTGGGTGCCGGTACTTTGCAGAGAAGCGACATCGGCAGAGCGGATACTGCCGCTTGTAGTCTGGTTCTACGCAGCGCAGCAGCGTGCTTAGGTAAAGTTATCCTTCCAGGCGGTGTAAAAAGAAAAAAAAAAAAGGGGGGGGGGGGGGGGCGCTCGTAGAATATTTTAAGATATAATCTGAACCTTCTGTAATGAACGTCGACGTAAAAGGTTTCACTTTGTCGTAAAATTTCCACATTATAAAGGTTAGCACTCTGCAAAGAGAGATGTTGGGCTGCAAAGTTCACCACTAAAACAGTATAATGACATACTACAATATTCGCTCATGAAAGAGATTGAAGGAGAAAATAGCCGTATGCTGAAAAATCTAAACTAGGTTTCCCTAAAAAAAGAAAAAAGGAGTGCTGGATGAGGCACGATTAACAAGGTGACATTGGTGTTCTATCATTATTATTATCACTGGATCTATGGAGCTCCACCCAGCTGATGTCAGCGTCGCCGCCAGGGCGTCTCGGAGCCTTTCACAACGAGCATCTTGGCGTCGCCTCGCCAAGATGCTCCCGCACCGCTTTGCAACGTACTCTCGCCGATCTTCTGCGTGTTTGCCGCTTGTGCCTGGCCGGGTGTTCACTATCGTTGACGTCATGCGTGGGCCTTAACTTTTAAGTGGTTTTGCCTGACGTCATGTAACACGTTCAGGCTACGTCGGGTTACACCACGACGTGTCCGAGTGACGACATGTGACGCTGACGTTGCACGATCTGATGCCGCGGGACGACGTGTTTTCTCGATGGTTACGTGAGACCAAGATGACGGGACACGGGTGTCATAGTGCCACCCGACGTAAATTCACGTAACCACATGCATTCCTGACGGTCCCATGACGTCACCTAATACGACGAAACCACGGATGACCCATTGATCTATCTATGCATTTCTTGCGCCTTCGGTAGATACCAAAGAGGCGGACAGTTCTTTTACACCCGGTGCTTCCACGGCACGTCCTCGTACCCTCCGCAGACTCGGTGCCCCTGACCAGGGTGCTGGGCCTGGCCAGAAACCTCGGCCTGGACCTGCAGAGGTCCATGGCGCCCAGGTCAAAGGAACGGCTGCTGGGGCTGGCCGTCATCCTGGTCCAGGAGTTCGGACTCTGCTCTCTGCTTACCGTGGAGCTGGACAGGGACCCTGAGGGAATGGCCGCCTACATCATTGCCGTCAGTGGCTGCCCTTTGGTCCCTAGCAATATCAGATAGAAGACGAGGCCGGTGTGTTTCCCCTTAGAATATGGAAGCCAGCGCCCCCTGGCTTCCGTCATCATCGGCGCCAGTCCATCTTGCATCGTCTCACAACGAACGCGACGCTAGCACGCGGGCGACGCCAAGACGGATACGTCTGCCGCTTTGCGGCGTCTCTCGTCGACTTTCGTGTTTGCCGCTTGGGGGCGGGTCGGAGATCCACTAGCGATGACGTCATGAGCATGCATTGTCTCCTAGATTGTACACGTAGCGCAAATTCGTCTGCTTCTTGTGCAGTGGTTGCAGTGACGTCAGAACGCGTCGAGCTCTGATTGGCTCTGATGGCAAGGACAGCGAGTAGTCCTCAGTGCTTTAGTTGCCTCGAGGTCTACCCACTGTCCTTCCAATCGGAACCGATCAGAGCTCGGCGTTCTGACGTCGCCGCAACCCCTGCGCAAAAAGCAGACGAACTTGCGCTCGGGATTCGTTTTCGCGTTTTATCCGCCCATGAACCGAAAGTGGTGTCAATGTGGTAAAAATTGAAGTTACAGAAGTCGGAGTGTCATGCTGTCGGATGTCGAGATCCTGGCGGTTGGGAATATAGAAGTTCTAGGGGGAAAAAAGCACGAGAGAACGCGAGTGTCGCTGTCGATGCGGTGCCCCAACTCCTGGCTGCCGATGCTTCCGTGAACTGTCCAGCACAAGAGCGACCTGCAGCAGAACAGGCGTCTGCCACATTCGCCATCGCTGCTGTGACGCTGCCAAGATCGCGGCCGGCGACAGAAACAAAAACAAAGGCAGAAACAAAGGGTCTCGTTTTTTTTCTTTTCTTTTTGACGTTGTAAAAACATCAGTCGGAGACGCTCTCCCGGCACCATAGTTTGCTGGACATAACATTAAACAGGCAAATTTTTTTTTTTGTTTATAAATTGCGTATTGGGTGGATGCTACAGGTTGGCGAACCAGAACTGCCACTGGGCAAGCTCCGTCCACCCGCGCTCTGGAATCAGGGTAAGACCAGGCGGATGCTGACCAAAGTCGGTGCCGATCTGGCGGCGCTCTTGGACCCCGGCGTCGAAAAAACGGAACAGGCGTCAGAGGGCTTCGCCAACGTCACCATGGTGTTGACCAGTGTGAGGAGCCAGCTTTGGATGTCGATGGGTCAACAGTATACTACAGGGAGTGTCTGAGCGCTGTGTGGGTGTAAAAAAAAAGAAATTCGTATAAATAAATTAGTGAACGAAGTGCATTGAAACTTTTGAAAAAGGTGTCCTTGGGTGGCGCATTTATCATATTAAAATTTTATGTGTGTAGATTTAAAAAAAAAATATTTCGATCTAAAAAAACAGGTTTTTTTTTTGTGCAGAAAGACAAAAAAAGCTTTTTTTTTTTTTTTTTTGTGCATAGGAAGGAGAACGGCAGAAACTGTGTGCTGACGCTTCTACTCATGGGTAGTACCACACACGGTTGGATGTGCTGGATCTAGTTTTGGGGTATTCGTCTCGATGTAGAGTTCACGTTTTTGTTTTATGTTGTGCCATCTATGAGTATCAGCGCCAACCAGACGGTGTTTGCCTTTTTTTCCTCCCTGTGCGCAGAAAAAAAAGAAAAAGGCTTTGTTTTTGTTAAAAAATTTCCTACAATCTACACTAATACGTTTTTGAGGATGATGAATGCACGACCTAAAGGCACCTTTGTAAAAAGTTTAGTTTGCACTCAGTTGGGTAGATACTTCTTTTACGCCTCAGTAGCTCTCGGAAACACTGTGCAGAAAAGTGCAGGAGGACGCTTCAGGCTCCGCTTTTAAGAGTAGAACGCGATAGCGAAACATATAAATGTACAAACTCCCGCTCGTTCCCGATCGTGCCTTGCCTGGCTTAGTCACTGGCGTGTCTGGCTCGCAGCCGAAGGGTCGTGGGTTCGTATCCCTCCTAAAATTGTTCCAATATTTCTTCGAGGGAAGTGAATTACTTTATGACGCGAAATTATTTGAGACATGCGGCGAACTTTAATTCGCATTACATGCCATGTTTAATCAATTGAACGCGTGACGTCACGTTTCACGTGAGCGTTATGGGTTGTTTGGAATTCCCGCGCGAGGTCGTGTGGCTGTGAGGTCATGATCCTGATTTTCTCGTCACAACGTCAGCGGCATAGGTTATTCTGCGACACAAGCTCCTTAACGCTACCACGTTAATAATCAAAGCATGTAACCAGCTTCGTCGATTTCCACGTAACGACTTCTCACTCGGATGACGCACACTCAGCAGTCGATAAAGAACAAAACAATGGGCCCGAGCTTGACGCCGAGCGTTCTTCGGCGTATTGGTCGGACACGAGGCTTAACGAAGCGCTGACGCAGCCCTTATGTCCAATCTTCGTCTGCGTTCAATCTCGCTGTGATGACGTCGAAATGCAAGTGTCCCGGCTTTGAATATCATAAGTGGTGTTCCAGTCAGTGGATCCTGCTATGGTAGCGCCATGGCCTTCTCTGCCTCGCAACGCTGTTTAGAAAATTTTATTTACAACAGTGGTGTCATGCCCATAACAAAACCAAAACCCGAGAACGCGCTATGTACAGTATATAGTCTTTCAAGCTAGCCAACCCCGTGCCTAAGGCGCGGGCACGCACCCACCGCTCGGCAAAGCGCCCGTCCGCGCGATCACTCGCGCAAAGAGGCCCCCCAACCGGTACTGTGCTCGCACGTCCCGACCCTGCGACGCCTCAAAGAGAGGGCCGCATCGTCGTCCCGTTCCCCCTTTCTCCGCCTAACGCGGTCTAGATATGATCAACATATTGAAAACGGAGTTCAATGCGAGAGTTGTGCACGTGTAGGTATCGGCAGGACCAGCGCCGCAGGAACTCCTGCTCTCCGAGGAGGAACAGTTGCGCCTCGAGGTGGGACACGAGCTCCCGCCGTAGCCTGAACAGAAGCGGCCAGAGCGCGCGCAGCCTCCGTCCCCGTCCCACGGCGCAGCACCGGTTTCGCCACAGGACGTACTCGCTCGCGGCGAGCAGAAGGCACGCGAAGAGCCCCGAAGGACATCGTCCGCGCAGGAGGTAAAGTGCCACGCCCAGCCCCCGAAAGCTAGAGCGAACGACCCGCCAGAACGGGCGCGTCACCACACACTCCGACACAACATGCACGTTCGTCTCTCGGTCGTCGCAGTTCGGGCACTGATCGGTGCGACACACGCCCCACCGAAGTAGCCGGTCTCGTGTGGGAAGCACTCCCCAGCCTCGCTGCCACTCGAAGTCTCGAAGGTGTCCTGGAAGGTTGAGGGATGTGAGGCGGACCCATGGGAACGAATCCGAGAGTCCAATCTGCACGGGAGTGAGCTGTGGTTCCAACAGGGCCTGGGCGAGGCGTGACGCTGGTGTTGTCGTGATGTCCAGTTGAGGCGCCTGCTCCACGAGGCGGCGATACAGCTGAAGCGCCTTCCAGTAAGCCGGCGGCGGTGTCTCAGCACAGGCACCCGACGGGCCGGTGAGGTCGACACCCAGGTCTCGGCGGGAGTGCCCCACGAAGTAGAGAGCGAGAGATCTGGCCGGGTTCTCAGCCTCGTGTAGGATCATGAGCATTGGCTAATTCGTCTCCGTTGCTATGGCCAATCGCCATTTCGGTCCCTTCGAAGCTTCGAGAGGGTCGTTCTAATCCAGACGCAGCAAGATCACCATGCACCATCATCGTACTGAAGGCGTTCCTCGCCAATATACGCGTCTTTGGCACATTGTGTGCCATGAACTGATCAGTCATGCCCATCTCCACGGATCTCTTACAATTACATTGTTATTCTTGCATATTTTGAAACCTAAAAGTTATTTTTCAGTGTCTCTAATCACCAACACCCCATGTGGTGGTGGTACGAAGATGTACGCTTGTTTCGCCGGTGTGTGGATAGCAAAATATCGGTATACAAGGAACGTCTTTATAAAGCTACCCGACACCAATGAATTAGATCGGATCACCATAGGCTGTGTTCCAAATCTTACCCAAATGAATCCAAGTTACTCAGGCGGGTCGTGTCACTTGACAACACTGAGCGAAAAGTGCTGGACGCGGGTAGGTTTTGGAACGCCTAGGTACAAAACTTTTACCCTGAAGTAAGATCGAGTAAATTTTGGATCACGGCCATAGAATCAGGAGGTCAAGGAAAAATTGATAATTTCATGAGCCAAAGTGGCGGCCATACGGGGAGCTTAGGGCTACTTTCCCACAATCCAGTTACTTTAGGGGGTGTTGGATGGGTAGACGATACCGTTTTTAAAGGGATCATTCAGCGAGATCAGGTAAAAATCTTTCTAATTTTAAACGAGCCTCTTGGCACTAGCGTGACCCAAACATACCGCCCACAAAGCCACTGACTAAGAAGCTTTGTCGCTGCGTTATTTCAAAGATAAAAGCCAACCTTTTTTTTTTCTCTCGGTCACCTCTTCTTAAAACCCGATGACGTAGTCATGAAATAGCAGTGTTAGCGTAGTCGCGAGGATTACCCCATGACACGGTGTAATATATGTATACATATATACGTACACGGGTAATAAATATCTATTAGTAGGTGCCCCACGCGTCGCAACTTCCAGATAAAGTCCTCTGCTTGCATTGGTTGCAAGCGGCGCCACCAGACGACTCTTCGATAAAAGGTTTGGGGTAGAGAGCCTCAAGTAAGAGTGTGGTCAACTCACGCCATGGAAAGCGTTTGCAATTTAACGGCGGCCCTACGGCCGGTTCAGACACTTGCGTTTGAGTGCGTTTGACTGCGTTACGTCGAGTTCCGAAAGCGAGTCACCGGCACATCTGTGCTTCGTGCGAAGCGTGGAATCCAATTCAAGGAATCATCTTGGCACGCAATATCAGCAGCAGGGATGTCCTGGTGTCTTGCAGCCGCAACGCAGTCAAGCGCAGTCAAACGCAACAGTATGAACCAGGCTTTAGAGATGACGGGTTATACTCTCTTTCGCGTTTAAAAAATACTTATTTTTTTGGAACAAAACTGGTGTCTAAAAGTGTTGTTTTATTCTTCGCGTGAAATATTCAAGCATCTCCAGGGTTGTTTATAACCGGAGTTACGTTGAAAAAACACCCCTAGCTATTCAAGACATTCAGAAGGATCTTATAGACATCTGGAGATTGGGCGTGACTCGTGGCGAACTTCTTCTTAGGCGTCCATGGCACACCTCCACCTGTCCGAACAGATGGCAGAGTACGAAGTGCGGAAGTACGAGGACCTTCAGTTTCTCCACCCGGTACGTTTTTGTTTTTATTTATTTATCTACAGAACGCTAGAAAACAACGCTCCTTGTGCTGTTTGTGCATTTGTTTTTTGCGAAAATTTCGTGTTTTGTTAATCTTAACATTTTCTCCCCTGATTCAGTGTACGTGATTAGATTAGCCGATGATTGAGTTGTTTCACTTCCCTCGTCTTAATTGGCGTGTAGATTTATAGGCCAACGCTTTAAGCCCATATGTTACTTTGTTTAGCGATAAAGATTCACGTAATAGAGTCTCGTACCGGCCGACCGGTGGATCGGTGGACGAGCGTGCTAACGCGCATCAGCTCAGAGCACGTGGAGCGAAAACTCGCGCTGCAGAACCCATGGATCCTGGGTTCAATCCCCACCCCTGGCCGTTTCGATCTGGATGAGCATCGTACCGGCGTGTGGTCGTGCATCACCGCTGAGTGGTGCACGTTAAAGACCCCAGGCTAGCGGCTGTACTGAACTGGCTAAATTTCTCATCTATAGCGGAGGCACCCGACGCCCATGGAACTAACTTCCGGCTGTACAAACATACTACGTACAACACCAATATTATTATGTAAAGATTCTCAACCTTTCGAGTGAATTTATAAATTCTTTTCGATAATTGTCAGTGATCGACAGAAGATGCGAAAGCGGTAAAACAAAGAGGATTGTCAACCCGTGGAACCCCGACCTTGGCAATATTATTTTTGGCTGGTGTTTCTTATGGAACAAGCAGTGGCAGGGAAAGAAATATTTCCTGTTTCGGAGGTATATACCAAAGGCGCTCCAAGCGCACTTATAGCTCCCCCGTGATGTAATGGTGTCATATGACCATCGAAAAAATTCGTGACGTCACAGTCTTAAGTGACGTCACAGTCTTAAGTGACGTTATGATGTCATATGATCGTCTAGGCCACATCCCAGTCGCAGACACGAAAGCGCTAAAAACTGGCCCTATAATCGATGTCCATTTGATGGAACAAATGACAAGACATGGCGGCAATCCACAGCCAAAGGCTTGAGCCATCAGACGCTCTTTCACTGCTTTAGAGCACGAATTGAAAGAAGCGTCATGGGAGAAAAAAAGGCTTGATGTTTCTATCCGTCCGTGTTAAGGAACTCTACCTCAACCAATTAAAATCGACCATTTCCTCTTTCGTGACCACCGCAGTTGCTGATTGGACTATACGGGTCGACCCAGGCCGTTGGCTTCGGCACTAGAGTCTTGGTGAAGAATCCCAAGTTCCTAAGAAAACTAGAAGAACTGCTAGAACATAACAGGTAAAAATAACTTTTTTTTTAAAAATTGTTCTAGATTTTTTATTGTTTATCACGCTTGCCCGCGGTAGGTGATGTACAAACGTCAGTACTACGGCCTTGTATCTTGGTGGCGCTGGGAACCACAGTGTTATAAAGTCCTTAGATAAGAGCTTCCTACAAGTAGCGACATTCTTTGAAGCGCCGACTGCGTGACGGTGCAGGTTTCAGGAAGCGAATGGCGGCGTACAGCAGAGGTTTGAACTGAATGCCGCTATTTTGTTCCAACGGAATATGCTTTGTCATTTGTATTGGTTGTCGCTACTTGTAAAAGAAGTATGAAGGGACTTTATAGTGTTAGGAAAGGCTGGAGTGCCTGAATTTCCACGTTATCTGTCGTAGGCCTAGGTGGGCGGGCATATAGACACGAATGCTGTGTCAGAATACACCTTGGACAAGTGTTCGATCGGTAAGGCCACGAATTTCAGCCGACGACTGAGGCAGCATTATTCTCTAATGTGTGTCCGGAATGGTCAGCAGTAGATGTAAAAAAAGTATACCACTACGGTCTTGCCTCTAGGTCAACACTCTAAAAAAGAAAAAGGTGTATTATTACACCCTTTGTACTATATAGTACACCCCAAAACTTCAGTTCGACGTACAGTGCACTGTCGTCGTTCTGACGGTACTAACTTTCACAAGAGGCTTGTTTGCTTGTGGTACAACTTATTAAATATTTAATGTGCGAGTTACTAACTACAAAAAATAAAAATCGAGCTTTTCTTGGCCCTACTGCAGAACCTCAGTGTTTTCTTTCTGTATACGTACTTTAGCTATCTAATAACTTATATTGCACCGTTATCAGGCCCCTCGTAAACTTTGGGGCCGTCTGCTCGAGTATAGTGTGCACTGCACGTCGAAATGGAGTTTTGGGGTGTATTATATGGGACAAAAGGGTGTAAGGTGATACCCTTCTTTTAGAGTGAAGGCGTAATAAAGACCCCTTTCGATATTCGCGTGCCGATTATTAGCAGGCCGGACACTGCACAATGGCAGAACAACTGACATCGTGGAATATGCAAGTCATTTCATGAGATAGCAAATGTCGTAGCGCGGCCAATGCTAGGAGCTGATGAGCCAATCAATCAGCGTCGAAAGTGCAACGTCACTGTGCTCATCATCTTTTTTTTTTGTGGGTGTGCTTTTCTTCTACTCCAACCAAACGCATAAACTGTGCCGTGACCAGTCTTGGGTAGTAACGCGTTACTAGTAACGCGTTACTGTAACTTTGTTACTTTTTTGGTAACTTGTAACTGTAACGAGGTACTTTTTAAAAATGTAACTTGTAACTGTAGTTCTATTACTTTTTTCTGAGGTAACGATGAAAGTAACGACGTTACTTTTATCGTTACTTTCCAGTGTTTTATGAATAATATATAACTGAACGAGTGCAATTTAGCCATTCCTTGCACTTTCCTGATCGTCTATTCCGACAGTTCGAGTGTCAAGTTGGCCTTGTACAAAGTTGTGAATACGTTCTTTCTCGCGAGTCACGACCCGAATATAGTCACGTGTAGATTTTATGAAGAAAAATCTAGTTATCTTTACGCACGCGCTTGTACTTTGTGACTGAACACTTACATCTTAGTGTCTTGAAGCACCACCTATGTTGTGGTTTTTCTTTGTTCTGTGCAAACGCTTTTTAGTCGGGTGAATCAACCGTGAAACAACAATACACGTGAAGGACACTGCGCATGTCTCGTATTTTGTTTAGCGCCACTACTCCGCACTGCGCATGTTTCGTATCTTGATTTGCGCCACTAGTCTGGCGTGGAAACTTTAAAACACTAACTTCGAGAAGCAACTGTTGCTAAATTACAATATAAAGTAAAACGCGTACTTTTTAATTTTATGCAATAAAATGTGAGGGGCGTTTTGTAGATTTTTCTAATTTTTTTTTGTTATAGAAAAGTAACTGAAAAGTAACGTCGTTACTTTTTAAAAGTAACAGTAACTGTAATGAGTTATTCTTTTGTTGCGGTAACTGTAACGGTAACTTCGCTACTTTTTCTGAAAGTAACTGTAACTGTAACGAATTACTTTTTAAAAGTAACTTACCCATGACTGCACTGAACGAGTACAATTTAGCCATTCTTTGCGCTTTCCAAATTGTCTGTTCCGACATTTCGAGTGTCAAGCTAATTTTTACACAAACTTGTGAATACGTTCTTTCTCGCCAGTCACGACCCGAATATAGACACGTGCAGATTTGGTGAAAAAAAAAAAGTAGTTATCTTTAGCACGCGCTTGTGCTTTGCGACTGAACACTTACATTTTGGTATCTTGAAGAACTATCTCTTTTGCGGTTTTTTTTCTTTTTTTCGACGCAAACGCTTTTTAATCGGGTAAATCAAACGTGAAACAACAATGCACGCGGAGGGCACTGCAAATGTTTCGTATTTTGATTAGCGCCACCACTCCGCACTGCTCATGTTTCGTATTTTGATTTTCGCCACTACTCCGGTGTAGTGTCAACAGTCGAGGCAAAATTTACTGCTGTTTGCGCGGGCTTTGTTTCTGGCTTGCATGGTACGAACTGAAATATGTCCAGGGACTCTACGAACCCAGCGCAATCGTCAACGAGCCAGCAATGTACTAGTGCTACCAAGAATATGAATGTTGACTAGAACAAAAAAGAACTACCATGGCCGGCGTACAGAGAGTATTTTGCTGTGGTGGAGGTGGTTACTAACAACTTGACCGCAGAAAACGGCACTCTGTTGCCTCAACGCCTACCCGGCAATCAAAAACCTGTTCCGGCGAAACAACACAGCAATCCCAACCAGCGCGTTAGACGAGCGCCTGTTCAGCAAGGGCAGGGACGTGTTCGTTATCAAACAAGGGAAACCCTAAGACACTAATTTCGAGAAGCAACTGCTGCAAACTTACAATATAAAGTAAAAAGCACACTTTTTAATTTTGTGCAAATAAACTTGGTGAAAAGCGTTTTCTAGTTTTTCCTAATTTTTTTGTGTTATAGAAAAGTAACTGAAAAGTAACGTCGTTACTTTTTAAAAGTAACTGTAACTGTAACGAGTTACTTTTTTGTTGCGGTAACTGTAACGGTAACTTCGCTACTTTTTTCTGAAAGTAACTGTAACTGTAACGAATTACTTTTTAAAAGTAACTTACCCAAGACTGGCCGTGACGTCGTGGTTTTAGTCTCATTCTGTGCAGGGATTCTACAGGCGCCAAAAGAGGGCAGTATTTTGAAAGAGGTCTATACTCTTTAAGCGAGGACGAACAGCGTAACGAACGCTGCGACGCGATCGACCAGACAAAGTCTTACTGGCACGCGCCCGAGTATCCTTTGCCACAAGCATCTTCGTCAACCAACCATCGAAAAAAAAAAAAAAAAAAAACACAACAAAGTATTTTGTTGTTACGGCATTTGGAGGCAAGTGCTTTCAGCTCGGCGCAGTTGTTCTAACCTCGATCCATGCTGACTCGAACACCACACCAGACATATTTCCGCTTCAACGCGTTCATAAAACTGTTCTTAGCCCCGTTGAGGCACGAAACTAAGGTCACTGACGAAACAGTGGCTAAGCAACGCAGGCAGCGCGAATGCTAAGTTCTACATAATGCCGAAGACCCCCAAAACGACTTACAAGGCATGTCTTCTGTAAAAGAGCATCAGAAATCGGGCCCACGACAGGCTACCATGCTTATGAAGCGTGATCTGGTAGTGCCGCCTGTATTCCGAGTCAAGGAGAGGACTTTACCTGGCAGCTGCGACGCGCGTGGTATCCTCGTATATATCTTACACCGTGTTCTAAGTGCTGTTGGCTCTTTCAGCTGTGGCTGGAAGAGTAAACGATGTTGCATGCTTCCTAGGCCACATGTCCACGAACTACAACATTGTCCGACAGGATTCAGCTGCACCAGTACATGGTGGTGCTCTCCCTGCTTCACCTGTCACCCTTCCTGCGGGTGGTCGAGCCGGTCGGCCTGTTTCTCAGCTCTCTTAACGGCCTGCCGATCTCGCCTGATTTGCCCAACCGGGAGACCCTTTGCCTGCACTTGGCTGAACGAACGCTTCCCAACTTGCTTCAGATGGCCTACGAGAGGATCTTCAATAGCAGCCTCCTTTTCGACGAACTCATGGTGCGTGCGCGTATTAAACTATCTCAAATGACTCTGTAAAAAAAAAAAGAAAAAAAAAAGAAAGTGAAGTCATCAATTGTTAATGCTTGCCATGTTCTGCAATTAAACTGTGGCTATGGTCGAAACGCGGGATACTCTGGTGCACACAATATGCAGCATTCCCAACTTTCTTGGACATCAATGCTTCGGCGCATGCTCTAAAATGAGAATCTCAACTGAACAACAAGAAACTTTGCAATCACCGGAATGCTTTTGATGAAAATAATAAAATATCAATAAGCAGTAATTAAAATTTTGGATTCTTATAGTTTTTATTCCACGGCTCTACAAATTGGTTTGCGTTGAATCTTACGGGCCACGTTTACAAAATGGTTAAGTACCGCTTTTATTGATGGAAGATTGTAATGTTCCCGGGGATTGTAATTGCCTGGGTATCATAGAAGGTAAGTCAATTAGAATTTTGCTATTTCCTTGAAAACCTTTTATTCCACGCAATGTCTCAGAAAGTTGGCCATGACTGCAAGTCCGTTTGCTCTTTGCGTGCCTCGTACGCTATTTTGCCCTCTAGATGCGCGCACGTGCTTCTGGCACGTGCGCGCTCCAAATGCGCCGCATTGCAGTCTTCGTCGTTTTTCAGTGTGTGTGTTATCACACCGGCTACACTAATCATGAAGAGTGAATGCTATGTGACTTTGCACTCTTAGACTGCGCGTCTTTGTTTTAGTGCCTTTAGAACCCCTGTCAGAATGGCACGTTAAAGGCCTTCAGAACGAACTTCTTTAAAGATCAGGAAATCAGCTCACGATGTCGCGCGTATCGCCAAGCGCTGGCTCGCCGACCCTCTGAAGGCCTTTACCGTGCCCGTCTGACCGGGGGTTCAGCCTAATTGCGCTTTGGTTTATTGTTTCCCGGGGGTTTAAAAGTGTGAATGAAAAATGTTTGCATGCCGCATGCTTTGCCCAGGGAGACGTCATGGTGGAGGAGGTGAGGAACGCTCTTTTGGAGCACATCCAGTCACTGAACTTGATGGATGCCTGGACCAAGGTAGTCGCCAAGATCAAGACGAAGAACGCCAAGGTGTACTCATTCTACCCCGTCGCCCTCGCACAACCGGCCACCCTGGCCGACTACGTTGCTAAGGTGGGTATGGAACTTTCTTCGCGGTCGGCATCAAGCTGCGTTACGCAGAATGAAGCAGGCCTGTTTCTCCGGGTACTTAACAATAAAATTGAAGCGAAGAAGGAATTTCGTGTGGATTCGTCGTATATTTCAACTCATGTTCTTGTTTACTTGCTGAGTTTCTGTTGATGGAAAGCCAGAGAAAAATGGCCCACCCCTAGAGACCGCGATACTTTAAGGATGCCTGAATAGTGGTCCCAATAGAATATTGATCTGTCTTGAATAGCCCAAAATAGTATTGCAATGATCTGTAATATATTGCAACCCTCATCCTTAGTACCTGGCTGAGATTCTGCTGTTAGGAGAGCACCAAAAGATCGCCCACCCCTAGAAATAGCAATACTTTGGAAATGTGCGAATAGTTGTTCTAATAGAGTACCCTGCGTCTGTCGTAGCCATAATAAATTTTATTTTTTGAAGTTAGGGGTGAAATTGAAATTCAGGTCGAACTAGTAATCACACACCCCTACGATACCTCTATCCTAAAGTGAACCTCCTGAGAACCACAGAAGTGAAAAAACGGAGTTTTGTCAAGATAATAACTTTAGAGGGTCAGACGAAGCCAAATTCCGTGAAAAAGTTGTTTCTTACACCAAAAGATCGCCCACCCCTAGAAATAGCAATACTTTGCAAATATGCGAATAGTTGTTCTAATAGAGTACCCTGCGTCTGTCGTAGCCATAATAAATTTTATTTTTTGAAGTTAGGGGTGAAATTGAAATTCAGGTCGAACTAGTAATCACACACCCGTACGATACTTCTATCCTAAAGTGAACCTCCTGAGAACCAGAGAAGTGAAAAAACGCAGTTTTGTCAAGATAATAATTTTAGAGGGTCAGACGAAGCCAAATTCCGTGAAAAAGTTGTTTCTTAACGAACCCTTTGGCAGCTATTGTGAGGCTTGCCCGACGTGTATTTCTGAGATCTTTTAATCAGCTTCTGCTGCTTCTCCGTGCGTATGTTTGTAGATAGCCGGGGTTGAGCATCTGGTGAGATTTTATCGGCAATAAGAGTTTTGAAACCTAACGCGATTGCTTGACGATATTGGAGATGAGCGTATACGAACAAGATCTCGTGTTCTGATTAATGTGACTTACGTGGTGGACCTGAGAACTGGCCGTCAAATGCATGAGCTGGGTTGAAGAACTTTCTTTGACTTTTAGGGGGAGATTTTCTCAAGTATAAAGGATGCGTGAAATTAAAGTTATTTGACATAGACTAATGTTTTCACGTATAACTAAAAATCTAGAATATCTGCTGAAGAAGTGAGAGTGGAAATAAAACGAGAGTAAGCAAAGCACGTAAGCGGTATTGTAATAAGATTAGGAAGTTTTCGTACATCGTTTTGGCCTTTCCGCAACGCTATCCGCTACCCGCTACGAGACCCGCTAACAGAGGCATAGCGGAGGCTCAAAAAAGTGCTTCCGTAGACCGTTCTCTGCGGGCTACGGTACTGCGATTATGCCAGCGACACTAGCGGCCGTAAAAAGCACTATATAAAACATCAAACGCATACTACTACTGCAACCACATATTTGTTTTATCAGAGTGCCTCTTTTCGAACACAACACATGGTTGATTTACGATTATAAATGTTAATCTTTTTTCAGGATAAATTCTTCGTAGCGAGCACATCCTGCCAGCTTGCGGTAATCGCGCTTTGCTTAAAGCCAGAATCGGTTCGGCCAAGTCATTCCTCTCTTTGTCATCTCGCGCTCTTTTATGTTCGTGGACGCGTTTTCCGCCAATTCCCGAAGATTCAGCGACTCAGCGTTCTTGAGGTCCAACTTTTATTGTCCATTTTAAGTTGGAGGAAAATAGAGGATGTGTATTTGATATTTTTGGAACCGCCAAAGCAGTGTTATGTTATTTGACTGATGTGCGCCACTGGTACGGTGTAGTTTTGGAATTTATATTCTATAAACAAAGAAACACTATTGTTTTTTTTTATTTTTTTTTTTAAGGCGCTACCGACTTTTAATCAGCAAAGAATTTTGTCTGCTGATAAATTAAACAAAGTCTTTAGACTTTGTTTATTTGGCTCTGGAGAGCCGCGGCACCGCGGAAAGGCACCAGCTCGTACCATGGAGGCCCGCGGTGCCGCGTCTAGTGAACATGATAATGTCATGAGTATATGCATACATAATGACAACGACATGAATTGTTGGTATTAGAGAGGATGGTGGTCCGATTCGCAGAAGTTCAGATATCGTGGAGGCGGGTTGTGCGGGTGAGAAGCGAGCTGGGGAATCTGGCACGCCGTTCGATCGGTGCATGAAGGAGCCTCCGGAACATTATGGCGCTGTTGCTCACTGGGGTCCACTGGGCTCGAAGCATCGGGCTCCAAGGAGGTAGCCCAGTCAAAGTAGAAGCTGCCGCCTCCGAGGCGCCAGGGCTCAGATTGAGGCACCGCCGTCGCTCGGTGTGTCATCCTCTCAACGTCGTCGTCGTTGTGTTCTTTATTTATTACCGTGTATATGTATAAATAAAATAAGATAGATAAAAGGCACACAATCGAACGGCCAGCGTATCTCGAGATCCGCTATTTCGTAAGGCGCCTCCGCAACCACGTCCGCAACTCCGCAAGGTCTGCGCTAGATTGGCGCATGCGCAGTAGTTGCGGAGGCGTAGCAGATAACGTAGGGGAGACGCCAGAACGATCTACGAAAACTCTCTATTAAAACACGCAGCGGATAAACAGAATAAATCTAATTCTGACAATACTTTTAATTAGAAACACCTTGAACTTGACCTTCTTTCAAAAAAATATTTTCCGAGGACACTGGTTAAAAAACTTCGAATAGGAAGCTTGACCAAGTCCCGAGTACCTGCACATACAGACCACGCCGCTTTAGATCCGTCTACAAAGGAGTTTACTGAATGTATTCGGCGCTTTTTGTGATCCTCCGCCCGGTTCGACACGTGCAGCTGACGCGATCCGTGCCGTGGAACTCGGACGTGGTGGATTACTACATTCGGCTGCGGGGCTTCCTGGCCCAGATGATGGAGCGGGACGACTCGCTCCAGCTCTTCTTACCAAGGTGCTTCCTTCCCTCTCATGCATAGACCCTTTGTTTCAGAATCGAAGAGGTCGTGTAGGCGTCGTATTTAAATCAGGCAATTGACGCCAAAAAAAAACACAAACTGTAGTAACACTAATAAATAAATTGAATTTATATCATTACACAGACGTGTCTCGATCGGCTTCTGTCTGTCATTCGCCTCGTTCCGCTCGTGTCGTCTCAATCTTCTTCTTTCTCGACGGTTTTCTCGTGAGCGTCAAATAGACCCTTTCCAAAATTCAGTGCCATCTGGTGGTTTGTGTTTTTTAGGTTTTGCCATATCAATGGCGGAAATGAACTTGTATGGGCACCGTCACTTTCGCAAGTCAACGGCACGCGAGGAATTGTGCAGTGTGAGTTCTTTCTCGATCACTTTCCGTTCGATGGTGACCAAGAACCTACATTCAGAACAAAGCTCCAACCCACTCAGATGCCTCGAGAGAATTCTAAACACCAAGGTGCTTTCAAGCCGATTGTGCGCCGCCCACAGATTGACTGAATCTGAGTTACTAGAAATAAACGCTTACGTAGCTCTTGTGTTCCATTCCTACGTCGCGTCGTACTGACCCCCCGAATGTACAGGCCTCGTAAGATCCGCTTAGGAGCTTCCTCAACGTCTGCCTTCATCTGTCACTAAAAGGCCGCCATTGATATGGCACAGATTCCGTTCCACTGATGATGATAGTGATCAAAGTGGCCAGACTGAATTTCGGAAAGGGTCTATTCTTTACCATCTGCAACACGCTTCGCAAAGCGCCGTTCATCTTGCCGAAAGTTACGTCGGAAACTGGCTGTATAGAATCGACCGTAGAAGGCTACGGGGGCAACCTGCAAAAGTATGGACTTTGCTGTCTCGGTTTGTGTGTCTCTCTGGGCTCGTTATAGTCACCGTATGTGCGCAGATGTGAATGAGGCCTAAAGGTGACTTTAGCTCGACGCCATCCAGGCGGATACTCGCACCTCATGCGAAAGAAGTGAGGGTTCGGATCCCTTGTTTGAGATCTGTCGGATCTACACCCTGCGGGCTGAAAAAAAAAAGTAATAAAACAACCTGCGCTGCGCAACAAAGCACGGCGAAACGTCACGTTCAAAGACGCGGTGCAGCCCGTCTTGGAATTATAGGTCGAAACATATTTTCGACATCATAATTCGCCGAGGTACCTGCGTAACTTGCAACAATTGGCCCTTCGAAAAGTCTTTAGACACTCCAGATTTCTTAGAGAGTAGGGAAACCGGGCCATTTAAAGTGAAGTTGATACAGCAACCGACAGCTTAAGAAAGGCGGGGCGTGAGATATCGTGTTCACGCTCGTCGCTTCCTGATTGGTTGTTTGGCTTTCTAATTGGTTAATGCCGGAACCTGTTTGGCTGAGGTGAGATAATAAGATGGTTGGGGCTCGCCACGCCCCGTTGTTTCTTAAGCTGTCAGTGACTGCGTTTACACGGATTCGATAGCACTGCATCGAATTGAATAAGAAGCAATCACACGCGCGCAGTCCCTCTACTTCTTTTTCTTCTACCCAATCACAATTGTCATATCTTGATTTGATACGCTACGTTCTCATTCACGCGTCCGCAGTTAGCGATTGTAGCAGCGACCTTCGGGAAATTCCTATAACAATTACGTGTGTTCCGCGTGTGTCCAGGTGGAAGCATTCCGTGTTCGACCCGGAGTGCTTGTACAATCCCCGGCGGGACGTCGTCTGTGAGTGAGCACTGCAAGGGCACGCTCTCCAATCTCCCTCAATGTGTACTGCACTCTATGATGCGGTCGGCGCACCGATCAGTGGTCTTCCTTTAACTCATTCAACGGGCGAAAAGGGTAATCGGTATTATGCTTCATTGAGTGTCCACTCTTAGGGGCAGAAGGAACAGACTGTTTTCTTTCAACGAGTGCCAGTTTGGGCACAATACCGCTTGCCCCTTTTCATTTGCTGAATCAGAGGAGAGAAGGTACCACTTGCTGAATTAGAGAAAAAAATATATAATTTGCTGGATTAGAGAAAGGAAGATTTTATTTGCTCAGTTAGATATGTAATTTACTGAATTAGTGGTAGCATAATTGTGTTGTCTGTAGTTCGGACAGCCGGAAGTTAGTCAGCCTCAATGGACGACTTGTTTCTCAGTTGTAGAGGAAAAGATCAAATTTTTGAATTAGAAAAAGGAAGATGACACATGCTGGAATCAGAAAAAGAGCGATCTCATTTGCTGAATTAAGAAGGGAAGGTCTAATATGGTTGAATTGAAATAGAAAATATTTTATTTGCTGTAAAGAAAGTTGTTTATTGATGAATCAGAGAAAAGAAGACCTTATTTGCTGAATTAGAAAAGATTCGTGTTCTAAGCATTCTCTAAAAAAAGAAATGAGCACGTCGTAAAAAAAAAAAAAAAATCAAAACAAAACAGAAACAGAAACAGGTTCGCCGTCGCCGTTGTTGGTTAGGGTGATTGACCATGCTCTTTGTTTTGCAGACGTGCCCGTAGGATTCTTCAACATTTCGGTGCCTACCAACCCTAGAGAAAGGCGAGTGGCTACCAGTACGGGCCTTGTGCCCTGCGCGACAATAGACAGTTTTAGGGAACCGTTTTTGCACGTCCGACAGTTCGTATTGACTGTTGAACGAACGAACGTTTGCTTTGAACAAGTTAACTGACATTTATCGAAATCGAAGTGGTGAGGGTGGCCTCAGAATGCAATAAAAGGTGCCGTGAAAAACGAAGTGCTCAGGAAAATTGCAGTTTCTAAATAAAATTCGTCTTACAGGATGTTTCACGTCCCTCGTGCAGCTCCGCGCTTAGTAGGCTGCTTCCTGCGGGTACTTCTTGAGAACAGTGAGTATCCATTAATAACAAACGTATAGACTAATCGTCAGCGCGGTCACTGCAGGCACATGATGCGATTAGCGTGTCTGACAGCTACTGATAACCACTCGATATTCAAGCTGGTGATCCGGCATTCCTTATGGCCAACGTTCTGAGACGTTCTGTGGAATAAAAAGGTTTCAATGAAATATCGAAATTTTATTTGATTTGCGTTTCATGATACCCAGACAATCACAGTCCTCGAAAATATTACGATTTTTTGTCAAGAAAAGCGGAAATTTATTTGTCGATGTGCCCTGATTCAATGCAAAAAAAAAAAAAAAAAAAAAGTAGAGTCGAATTAAAAAATATACGCGTCCAGTAGGTTAATTACTGCTTATTGATATTTTATGACTGTATTCTAAATTATTAATTCGAAACACTTTTTTTGCTGTTCAGTTTAAATTTTCATTTCAGTGCATTTGGCAAGGCGTTGATGTCTAAGAAAGCTGGGGAGGCTGCAATCGAGTCCTTTCTAGATTTAGCTATTTTTACCCCGAAGAGAACTAAGACACAACTTTCCTTTATATTTCGAGCGTCGTATTGTCATCAGCTTCGGTGCAGAGCTACGAAGTAATTACTGTACACCCGTAGACACAGTCTAAATGCTTTAAATTAATGTCGGACCAATTGATGGATTAGCGGTATTTATAACTTTCTTACGATCATATAATATCTTGAAAAGTAGTTCAATTACATTGCAGATTTCTAAATTATGTTATCGAACACACAAATGTATGCTGACTTAGTCTCAATATCAGTGCTGCCTGTCCGCCCCCCCCCCCCATTTCCTTTCTTTCCTCCTTCCCCCCACCCACCCCCCCCCCCCACCCCCCTTCCCAACTTTGCCGTGAGAAATGAGAGCCCCAATCCTAAGAGAAACTCTGCCAAGAAGTGTTTCCTCGTTGAAAACTGAACAGTTGCTCAAACGCAGCTACACCTCAGCACCGCAGGATAATTAAAAAAAACTTAATTTTTGTGAGTAATTGCACGTTCCTGAAAACGTAATCGCATTTAAAACAATGCTGATAATGCAATTAATGCAAAGGTGCAAGCGAACTGGACAAGAATGGTGATAATAGTCCCTGGTGAAGGGGAACCAGGGGGACAAACGACAAATAGAATTTAAAAAAAAAAGAAACAGCTAGGTGACTGGTGGGCGGCCTAAAACATCTGCCTGGTCCTGGTATCGAACCAGGGACCTCTCCATTTCCAGTGAGAGCTCTACCAACTAAGCTAACCAGGAGTTAGACGTCAGTAGAGCAAACAGGTTTTATAAGCTGCCACCAGTCATTGCATTAATTGCATTACCATCCTAACATTAAAATGCAGGCCGTTCACCCTTATCAGTGTTAGACTGGTGGCAGCTGATGAAACCCTTTTTTTTCTACCGACGTCTAACTCCTGGTTAGCTCAGTTGGTAGAGCGTTCCACTGGGAGTGGAAAGGTCCCGGGTTCGATACCAGAACTAGGCGGATTTTGTCGGTCGCGCACCAGTCACCTAGCTGTGTTTGGAGATTTCTGTGTGTTCTTTGTCACCCTGGTTCCCTTTCTGAAGGGATTTTATCGTCATTTAAATCAAGGTGGAAAAATCGTGATTTTATAAAATAAAGCGAGTCAGATTTACTAGACCCAAATGATATTTATTTTATTTAAATCACTAAGTTGAAACATTTAGTTTTTTGTAACTATATAGTTAATTTTTTAATCGATACCTGATATAAATGTTTTTGCTTCATGATTCTTTGGTGTAAATACAAATTAAATGCTCGTGGAAACCATAAATCGATAGACGAAGTGTGAATGCAAAATAGTTTCGGTATTATTTTGGGAGAATTTCGAATATAAACCATCATGTAAGTTCGTTGCGATTTAAATCTTAACTTAAAGCATGATTTATTTCGCGATTTAAATTATCTTGATATTTATTTTCGACCATGATTTAAAACACGTCACATCTGCTCAGATGCAATTACTTTTCAAGAGTAAGTTTTTGAAGCTTCGCGCCGGTGCAAGGCTCCCAATACGACGGGATTGAGTTCCTTTCAAATGGTCGCAAACTTTGACGCGGGCTTATATTGGCGTGGGCCTCGAGTGGGTGCAGTTTTGGTGTCACTCTAAAAACGCTCCCGGCGTTCAAAGCATTCCGCCCCCAGTTCTTCGCCGAAGAGCGTCAGATATATGTTTTGGTGTGGGTTCTTGACACCCAAAAACAGGCATTAGACATGTGTGGACCCTGCTCATCGTGTTATCATCTGTCCGGTGACAACCCGTTGTTTTAAATGCGACACCATTTCTTTCGGGTATTTTTTCTCGGAAAAGTTTGATCTGTGGCACGAAACGCTAGCGAATGCTCTTGAGAGCGATAAGTGAGAATACATAGAGAAGGAAGAGCAGCATTCAGAACGTAACCCCCAAGCAGAATCGAACCATGGACCACAAGATTTTGAGCCCGAAGCTCATCTATTCGGTCAATGCGGGCAGACTCGTGAAGCGTTGGCCTATAATGTGCTGTTCTTCTCCCTTTACTGGAGGCATGCGCGGTCCGCTCGATGGAGCACTGACCGAATATGTCGGAGCCTCAAACTACGCCTCACAAGAGGAAGAGGCGGACCGAAGCATGCGGACATGAGTGTAACCACCTTTATTGAATGAAGAAAAATGTGCGGGCAGTTCACGCTTATAGTTACCCTCTCCGAGGTAAATCTTTATTTAATCGGCGGACTATAGCCTTCATAGAAGACAAGCAGGGCTGTCGCATTTTGACGTAGTCTTTATCGAAGCACCGCCAATACACAAATTTGTTTATTTTTGTTTTTGTTTTTAGTCAACTTTTACGAGCCGGAAGGTCCGTGGTGGACCGAGAAGACGAGGGCCCTGGTTGAGGAACGTACGAGCTGCCTCCAGCGGAGCCACGAAGCCCTTGTGAGTAAATGGGGGTGGGTATACTCCCTCGACACTCTTCCTAGTCAACTTCGAAATGGAGAGAGATATCGAGGGTGATGAAAAGAAGCAGAGGTCAGCCTCCGTTGTAAGCGTTACAAAATAATAAATCAATAAAATAATGAAATATGTTACTCGTTATTTGCAGATAGAAGGAAAACGGTACCGTTACCGATAAAGAGTAGCACACGTTACTTTTGCGTTCTGTTTTTATATATGAATTGAAACGTTGGACCATTTTGACGTTACAGCTGTATGCACGAGCGACATTATTCGAGGAAGATTATGTTGATGCAGAAACTTGACATTATTACCTTATATTTTTTTTTTCGGTTCCACCGAATATTAAAAAAAAAAAAGAAACGCGAAGAAAAACGCGAGCCACGCAAGAATTTTTACGAAAAAAGTGACCTTAATTGTTTTTGTGTTTTTAGGTGCCAAGCCTAAAAACACAAAAACAATTAAGGTTACTTTTTTAAATATCGGGAAGAAAACGCAACGGTAAGGTAACTACGTTACCCATTGGTCAAAATAAGTAACGTAAGTATACGTTATACGTTAGTTTTTTTGAAAATGCAACAAGTATGTTACTACCTTACGGAAACGTGTAGCACGCAGGGTTGGGCAGAAATACTCAAAAATGTATTTGGAAATACAAATACTGGGATACATTGAAATAGTAGCTAAAATACTGATACTAAGATACATTTGTAAAAATGTATCGCGATACGTATCGGAAATACATTTTAAAAAAAGGCAAAAAGTATTTGGAAATACAAATACAGGAATACATTTTAGGGAGGGCAGAAATACAAATACAGAAATACTGATACTGAAATACATTTTTCAAATTGTTTGAGACGCCAACTGAGATGAAGCTTGAAGTTTGAAGTGGATGTTTTCGATCCCGAAATTACGTTCCCGTAGGCTTGGCACTTTGCCTTGAAGGTAGTGGTTTCAGACGACAATTGAGTCTTCAATGGGCCCAAAAAAGCGTTCCAACAATTGCTGACCGCGGTCCCTTCCATGACATCCTGTCTGCCTGACGAGGGAATCCTGTCAACATTGATCACATTATGTCACGGCGGAATGAACTAGAATTCTCTATCTGTAAGTGTGGCCTTGAACATGAAACTTTACCACGCTGCTGTATGAAAGGACAATGCGCACTTTCGTTGTAGGCTACCTAGCTGAAGATCGTGCATGCAGTGTCATTTGGAATTTTTGAGAATAGTGGACCACCTGAAGAATCTTGGAATACATATCTTATCTTCTGTTTTACAGTTGAAAAAACGATACGGTAGCATCCCTGTTCTGAAGGTCCTTACTACCGACCCTCCGCCACCGACGCACGGATTGCAGTCCTCAAGTTTTGCCGAGCATTATCCAAACAGAGACTTCGTGGATTACGAGCTGATATTGCCGGCACAGGTGGGAGCTGTCCAAGAAACGGCGGTCTCGAGACTAGTTGCGGGAGTACGTAGTCTGGGATGGCACAGCGATGCCACTTCTGGCCTCCTTCTGGGTTTCGGATCAGCAGAGCAGCGGGCCACGTTCACGTCGGCTGATGACGTACCCTTGAGTCGTGCAATATTACGGGCGCAGCCGTAGATGCATTCGGATATGTGTTGAACTTCACAGCATAAGTCTTCCTACTATTTCAAGTCAGCCACCACCTGGCTCGTGCTGCACCGGAATGTGACTCAGCTTTGCAGGCAGGGTGTACTCTGTACGCTAAGGCGAGAGAGACGGTTAGCAGCGGGCGTTGGATGCCAGGAAACAATGACTCAAGAAGTCCCTACCTAAAGACCTGCGGCAGAAGATGCTCTGACTCCACTCCTGGCACGCCACCTGGTTCGAGTTTCCCACTATGCAACATTTCTCAGAAGAGAGAAGAGGACTAATAGAAAAATAGTTTGCAGAATCAAAAGGAACTAATTGGTCAGCATAGTAACAATACCCCAGCATCTCCTTGACTCTGGTGCCCTTAGAAGTAAAAAAAAAAAAAAATGCTTTCAAACTTGTTTTTTTTTTTTCTTGTTTTTTTTTTTTGGGGGGGGGGGGGGGGGGAGTATTTCTCAAGAATTGTAACGAAATACACTTCATCGTGATTGTATCGCGATACAAGGGAACATTCAAAATGTATTTCGATACAGGAATACAGATACTGGTGAAAAAAATGTATCGCGATACAGAAATACAGATACGAAATGTATTTCTGAAATACTATCGCGATACATTTGTATCGCGATACTGCCCAACCCTGGTAGCACGTTACCTGTGACGCCGCTACTTCCAACGCGTTACCGCCAAAGCTGGGATGGGTTACTTGTCCTATGTGGCCACTCCGTACTGGGGAGTATTTATCTAATGTCGTCGTACGGGATGGGCGCCCATGTACTCATATCAGTACTAGCGACGCAGTCTCTGTTTCCTCAACATAAACCATTCTTCAGCTCTCCTAGCTGTGTTTTAAAGATGGGCTAAAAAGCTTTTCGGTTTTGCTTTTTACGACTCTGCTTTGATCAGCGTGAATGTCCGAATTGTCCGAATGTGCGTTGCAGTGCCCTAGAAAACTCGGGATCAAAGTCTTGTGCGCATTTCCTTCTACGCGGCGAGGAGCTGGAAAGCGTATGAGATGAACCAAGCTAGAGACATTAAAATACGGCGGTGGAAACCTTTTTGAGTGCATCTTTATATGCATGACGTTTAAGCTTATTGATTCAAACCGTGTTTAACGTTTTTTTTTGTCATTTTATTACAAATAAACAAAAAAAAAAGGAAATAGAATGTATATACGTCTACACACGGACATGCTCTTTGGCGCGTTTGTCCACATCAGGTGTGGGCATTGCGCGTGCGCACAAGCCAGATTGGCATGAGAGGAAGCGTCTGCGCACGGGCAGTCCCGACAGCAGCGCCACCGCTGTGGCGTGTGACGTCAGAGGGTTGAGTTGGTGTATACCGCACACGAAGACGTGTTTAAAGTTTGAGCGAGAGGTCTGCGGATAAACCTCCCGTCCGAAAAGAGGGGGAGGGTTCAACTGTAGTGATGCGGAGAGTTGAGCTAGTTCAGGGGTGGCCAGAGTGACATGCTGTTAGAGCCGCAGACAAAACTACACAAGTTCAGGCGGCAGCAGAAAAAAAAAAGGGGGGGGGGGGAGGCCTGCATTTAGCAAGAAACGGTATGGAGGGAATATAGTCCTTTACAAAAGGGGGAAAGATATAATTGCCTACTACAACACCAGGCACCACCAGGCAGCGGAACGTTTCTTCAACCGTTAAGCAAAAAGGAATTCATATTTCGCCAGCCAGCCACTGGCCCCGACGCCTGTTATGTATATACGTTCGAAATTGTTTCTAGGAAACTAAAAGAAACAGGGTCTCTGGACACATTTATGTGTCCAAAAGCGGTCCAGTTGTATGTACGTAGTGTAGTAACGATTGTGAGTTTTGTTTGTAATTTTGGAACTTTTTGTTTTGTTGGACACAGGAGGGGAAGGGGGGAAAGCTTACCAGGGAGCCGCGAGGCGCACTTGAACCCTCTAAGAGTCGCAGTTTGGCCACCCCTGAGCTATTTGGTACATAGACATGCTAAAACAGCGCACAAGCCTAGAGGGAGAGAACGCGTAGCAACAAAGCGCTGACCTCAAATTGATGTATTGTGAAAGAAGGAGAAAATTTTCAGCCTTCCCACTCTGGTGAAGAAGGAAGAGCAGCGGAGCTGTAGCTTCTATTCTCGCCGGTGGCTTTCCAGGCGGGCGATCTGCTCTTCTTTCGCAAGTGAATGTGGGGCGCTCGACGCAGTGGAACTTTAGGCGATAGCGGCTTCGCGGCGGTTGCGGAACCATTCGCGCTGCTGCGCACATCGCCGCTCGTTCCGCTCCCGCTCTTCTTCCTCCGAAGAAAGAATGCCGCCATCTATGACGGCGGCAACCAGTTGTCTGGTTGCCGCCGTCGCTCATAGATGGTGGTAGCTGTCCAGAGTTCGGTGTCATCATTTCTTTGCTGGTGGACACGATCCTGGGGAAACTAGCCTTTAACAGCTCTGTTGTAAAAACGAAGCATTAGAAATGATGCTTCACCTTTTTCATCTTTCACATTCACATTCACACTTCGCATTCACCTTCACCTTCACTTCCCCATCGTCTTTCACAACCCTTCCCGATGCTTCGTCTTTTTCTTTCCTTGACAATACATCGGTCTGGAGAGAGCGCTCCGTCCGCGTTTTCTGCTCCTCCTCTCTGCTTGTACACTGTTTTAACACGTCGTTGGGGAGGATTTATCTCGGAGCCATATTGCATCCCGCAGGCGGACGCGAAGCATCCCCAGAGGAAGGCCTACGACCCCCCGTACTTGGGCGGGCTCAACCACCTGGAGGACACGCTGAGCGTGCGAGTCGCGCTCAAGGTCTACGACGACCTGCTGTACACGAACCGCTACCTCGACCGCGACTACCGGCTGGTGGGCGCCGAACACATCTCCTCCAAGCAGCTTTTCTTCATCTACTTCGCGCGGGTGAGTGAAGCACAGGTATTTTAGCGACGCGCTTGGCCAAACAAGAAGAACGGGTCGCTGTGACAATATACCACCTAGAAGACATGTCCCGCGATTTTTCACCCGCCCCCCTGTCATCACTAGTGAATGCACGCACCGTCTCCTATGTGGCGCCAGCATCGCCACCGCTTGCAGCTTCTCCCAACCCACGCGAGGCTACCAAGGCGGACTCGTGTCGGTCGCTTTGCGGTGACCTCTCGTTGAGACTCGGCGTGTTTGCCGCTTGGGGAGGGTTCTGGTATCCACTAACGATGACATCGTCCGCAGGTTTTGTCTTCTAAGCTGTATTGACTATAATCGACTTTCTAGAATCAGGCAAACCAGGAGATCAAGAGCATTGTCAGGTTATCAGCTTAAGAGGTGTTGGTTTAAAAACGCGATGGCTCCTCACTTCATCAACCAGGAAGGAGGCGACACAAAGAAGGGGGACGAACAACAAAGACAGCGATGAAAGTCATCGTTGCCCGTCTCTTTTTCTGAGCTACACCGGTCATGGTTGATATTGTTTACCATGCACGCTGGTTTTGTACTTTACTCCTTACTTCCACCGTGCTTTTTAAATACGCGTCTGAAGCCTACCGCATTTATCGGCTCTATAGTCTAAAAAATATCTGGCTGTAAAATAACTTTTAGCGGTTCTCTGGCTTGTCAATATTTTGCATCATAAAAATATTCAAGCACCCCCTAAAAGGGTTAATCGTCAAAAATTTCTCTAGGGTTCTTGGAAGTCCTTTTTTTACGCTAAAGAGTTCTTCGTTGTCCAGTTGTTTTTTTTAATGTGTCAGGGGGCGATAGTGCCTGGGACGAAACCGTTTATCACGAGCTGAAAGAGTTCTTGGGGCGTCAAAAAACCTTTCAAAAACGGATTATTATTTTTTTTTTTTAGAGTGTAGGGCAGGTTTTCACAAAGTTTCCCCTCGTGGAAGTTTGAGCTCCTTCTATCTCCTGTTTCTCTGACACGGTTGGTATTACCCCTGACTGCTTTCGATTCTAAATAGTAGATTGTTGACTTTCGTGCGAATTCATTGCACGGCTGCTGGCCACTGGCCCCTTCTGGTTGCAGAGCATGTGCGAGGTTCCAGACACCCTCGACAGGTTCATGAACTCCCACCTTTCATCGAAGAACAATGGAATATACCGGTGAGTCTACTAGGAGTGCTGCGTCATCCACTCACGAAAAAAGTACGTGAGAGAACAGAAAGAAAAAAAAAACTCAAAAGTTGATCTAGTTACATGTAACCGCAGCTAAGGATATACGATTCGATTGAGCCAATCAAGCAGCGACAAAAGCGTATACCTTTACAGCGCTTGTCGTCTTTATGCGTTTGCATTTACTGGCTAAATCACACGCAGTGAATGCGCCGCGATCTTGCGCTTTTGTTTTTGCGCGTGACTGATTTAGCCGGTGTTATGCGAACGCACAAACACGACGAATGCCGTGAAGGTTCACTTTTGGCGCCGGGCGATTGGCCTCATGGGATACTATGTAGCGGTGGCGTCGGTTGGACTTACTGTGACGCGGAGTATATAGTAAGACGGCATTGGCTGATTTTTTGTTGACCGTGGCGTCAATTGGACAGGACGCGGATTTGAAAGTATACCCTGCTACCGACTCTTCCCTTTTTTGCAGGGTGAACGTGGCCCTGATGAACAATCGCGAATTCGCCGACGCTTTCGGGTGCGCAGCCGGCACCCGGATGGCACCTGCTGAACCCTGCTCCGTCTGGAAATGCAACAGCGGATTGTGCGCGGGAAACCGACTGGCGTAAAATCGAGTGTCTTTTAGTTCGTTTCTATGTGTTTTTTTTCTTTTGTCAGGAACCAAAAGAAGTGTTTCACACGGAGACGCCTTATTTTATTACAAATAAAATGTAATTCAAGTTCTCCAACAATGCGTGGAATGAACGGGAGTCGGATACAAAGCATCGCTCTCCTGCAGGTTTCCCCTTCTTTTCTTTTTTTACGAGATCGCGAAAATTGAATTCGGAAGTAGGGATATAGCCTGTTTTTCTGAAAGAGTGCGATCGAGAATTGGGAAAGGGCTGCCACACGCTTTCCTCCTTGCTGGGTTTTGGGGAAAACGGTAGAAAGATTTCCGAATGGCGGTCACGAGACTGCGTTTCATCGGAGACAGTCACTTTCTCGCGGCAGTAACAGATTGCAATGGTCAGCTTCCGCCGGATACCCAGCGAGGACGCAGGAGCCGACGCCTCTTAAAAGGCGACGCAGTACTCAAAATGACGCTGTCCACAAAGAAACGGTCTAGGGACACTGACAAGATGAGAACGGCAGAAAGGAGCTTCAGTTGCCTTGCCTCCGTCGCGAGCTTGCTACCTTCGCCAACGCTTCGGCAACCGTGAACTTCGACCACGCGCGCGTGCAACCAAAGCAGGAGGAAGGCATGAAGCCCGCGCTGGAATCGACGTTCCGAAGAGACGCCCCGGCGTTCTAATTCGTTCAGTGACAATACATCACAATGGCGTAGTGCTGAATATTCGGCGTCACCTAAAGATGCAGACGTGGGGCACAAGCTGGACACGAGGGCTGAATTGTATTTGTTGTTACCACTGCTTCTAGCCACGCTAGTACATAAAATGGACGAATTTTTTTTCTCTACGCTTCAGCCTTACCAACCGGCCGCAACATAAGACGTTGGTAATCAATTTGTACCAAAGAACGAACAATTTGTACCAAGAACGAACTTGACAGAACTCTTGAGAAGAAACCACAAGAACGTAGAACATTCTGTCGTCAAAATAGAGGGAGAATAAGTGGGGAAAGAATAGACCAGGAAAAACGTAAGACATCATGAAAGGGTTTCCCTTCTTGCACCGTACTTTTCGGACAGATTTTCGTTGAATTTTTGGGGTACAAAAAGAGGGTTATTGCGCTTAGAAGTATTTGGTGTGGGCCCATGCGCTCACACTCGCTAACAGCTGCTGAGCCATAGGAAAACGCTGCCCAAAGTCGGGGACGTCGTCTTTAGAACGACCTGCTACCCTACAGAGAACAACCATTGTCTTTGTTGCGCGGACAAAGGAATCCTTGTTCACACAGACGAGATATTTTAGCGACGTTTTACTTTATTCGGGATTCCTGGACAACAGACGTGGTGTCGCAGCTAGGTTGTACGTGAGAGGGTAGCTGGGGTCCAAAGAATGTTGCTGACAACTTACATTTCGTCTTCCGTGTTATTTTTATTTATATAGGTATCACATGGTGACAGTTATTGTTAAATGTAAATGGGCGTAATGCCTATTTTCTTACGTAATCCACCTATTTCCGAATAGGTGCTGTCAGCTGGTTGTGCGACTGAGCTTGACATTGAGTGGCTGGAAAACAACGCACTCGCAAAGCTCTTTCAATTTTATTCGACCACGCTATTTCAGTGCATGTGTGCCCCATAACACCAGCAACATCCTGCTGGCTCGTTGAGACGTTGTGACTTAGAGACGGCTCCCCCAAACATCGCTCTTGTCCCCATTGTGAATGACCTCGGCGCCGAAGTTGATGCAAAGCACCCCAGCCAGCAGAAAAAAGGGAAGGGTACCAAATCCATTTTCTCTCGATCCCATATTCTGGAATAAGGTGGATTGTCGATTCGATTTGAGGTGTTCCTCTAACACTACTTTTGACAGGTTTAAGTTCAGATAACTGGTACATAATACAGGATGGTCAGTTTGAACATTAGACAAACACGAAGAGAGGGAACGAAAATGCACAGCGCTGACAATCAACCGTTACTTCAGCAATTCTTCGTCTTTATCCATATATATTAAATCTTTTTCATTTTTCCTTTTATTAAAAAGATTTAACGGATATGGATGAACACGAAGAAGTATTAAAGTACCAGTTGATAGTCATCGGTGTGTTTGTTCATTTCCTCTCTTTGTGCTTGTACAATGTTCAAGCTGACCTGCCTGCACAACATTTAGTTGTATATTAAGACACCATTCTTGGATTTCTTCAGCGGGTTCTCTATACTGCTTTCTTCAATGGCATTTTTTTGTTGAAGCATATCCTATGGCCCAAAAGGCATAATATTGATACTTCACTTCCTCAGTACATCGGTCGTGTTAAACTGTGCTTGTTACTAATATGTGAACACTATTTAATGGCCAAGCACCTCCTTGGAAAGATGCACGAAGAACGAAGAAAATCAGCAGAGCAGTCGCCTTAGAGGCAATTGGTACACTATAGAGAGACATTGTTTTGCTTTTCGTACCATAGTACCTTCCAAGTAGAGTTCTTTATTGCCTTGAAAAATAAAATAAAATGATTTATTGATTTGTCGATTGATAAATAAAGATAACAAACACAAATAGATAAAAGAGCAATGGCAACGCATGCTGGTGATATTGTCAGAAAAACAAAAACGGCTGCCTATGCAGTTACTGCATTAAATTAACCTCCCACTTCTAAAACAAGTGATTTCCTTCCTTCGAACTCTACGGATCTTTGAGCTGAGCTGCGATGTGCGCAGGGGGGAGGGGGGGTATGTGTACTGAAAGTGTGCTGTATTCAGACAAAACTTTATGTAAAAAAAGTCTTAAATTGTTTGCCTCAAGGCTGGAACACATTTGCGAAGAATGAACCGCCGAATACATGAAACTCGGAGCTTGAAAAAGTTCCGAGTTACTCAAGCATCAAACAATACTTTTAAAAATAAAAGACAACAACACTCGGCGAGACAGCACGGAAAGGGTAAATATGCTTTGAGGAGAGTTTGCGTTTATTTCATTTGTTTATTTCAAATTTTTGGCAAGGAGTTGAGACAAAAGGCGACAGCAAATGCCGCCTGACTGGGCCCTTAGCACACGATTACACTTTCAACACAAGCAAAACTAGATCAGAGCAACACAAATGAAACAAAAACTGCAAATACACTAGTATATACAAAACATACAACGCAACAACAAAATTTGAAATAAAATTCCTTAAATCCTCTTAGCCCTATTAAAAGCCATTGAACAGGTTTTAGGAACTAAAGCTTCCATTGTTTACTGAAGGTCTGCGGAGAGGAAGTATTTCCCAGGGTACTAATAAAGTCAAGGTAAATGTTCAGGAGGTTTGGAAATTGTCAATTCAATAGTTGTGTGCCATAGTTCTGGTTCTAATTGTTACAAAATATCTATGTCTAGACTTGTAGTGTGTAGCAGAGCTTGTATATGCAGAAAGAATAGTTTGCGGTCGGCTTTTAGTTCCCCATAGATTACTAAAAACAATCGCTGGTTATATAAAGCTTCAATATTCAGTATACGATTTTATTCAAAGTTGGAAAAAACATGATCAAAGCTCGATAGGTTTTGAATAAACCAGCAGTACAGAAAATTCCCTCAATTGTTGCCTGCTCGGAATTTTGTGCTACTTTTTGTTGGGATTCGGACGTGTTCTTCAGTCATAAAACCAAAATTCGGATGAATGCAACAATTTCAAAAATTCAGCCACGGATCACAAAGATGATTTCTGAATTTACAGGCGAATCGTGTTAAACGGCAAAAATGTATATTTGAACCCAAAATGGGTTTATGGACAACACCACATATACCCACAGACAAATTTCGATGGTATTCACGACAAGAGGAGGAATTCGCGTGCGCAGCTTTATTCTGCATTCGTGCAAAAAACTTCATGTTAAAATGCATACGCAGCGGCACGGAGCAATACTTTGGCACCGCACTTATCGCATGAAGGGCGGCCGCTCGCTTGCATAAGTTCTTCACCGGTCCGGCCACTGGTTTTATTTTCTCACCGCCACCAACAAGCCGGACGTAGGTCTCGGCTTTCTATTAGACGAGATTTCACTTAAAACTCTGCATGCCTTAGAGCAACTGTACATGCTATGCTCGAGGAGCATACTTAGTCACTTTAAGCATGTCGCCTATTGGTACATCATCAATAAAGGATGCAGGTTATTCTGCCACATCATACGCTCTCTTTCTGTCTCGATAATTGCGTTATTTTAACGTACTGTTCCTCATTCCTAGTGACTCAAGCTCGCGTGCTAATCATATATATACCGCTCTCCGAGAAAGATATATACGTCGCCCCTCCCCCGTCTCTACGCTTCCCGTATTAGCGCCCCAAGAGCTCTGGTTCCGGGGCCGTCAGCACCCTGAGCTCCTCAGCTGAACGGGTTCGAACGCCGAACATACCGCGAACGTCGTGGATACAAGACCTGAGCTTGTTGGGCAAATATTTGCCCAACCCCAAGGGCCGTCTGTTTTCAGGGGAGGGCGTCCCGTTCCGTTTTCGCAGTCTTCTTTTATTTATTTTGTTTCTTTATTTCTACGGGGGCTCGGCTTCTTTGAACCGCGGTCCTTTCTGTGTTCGGTCAAGATGCTTTCGTTTCTCCCTCTTCCAAGGTTTGTGTTTTCTTGAAGACATAGGCGGGTTTGGAGAGTCCCACTAGAAGTCAGAGCGAAGTGCAAGGGCGCAGGGTTGGTTCTTGATTTGGTTCAAGTTGAACTTGACTAACCCCCTGCACCCCTCTCTTGTTTATCGCCTTGCGTTTTGTTAAGAATCGTTTCGTTGTACTACGTTTTCCGACACACCTAAGTCATTAGGACGAGGAGATTCGGAAGCGAACGGAAATCAAGGCCAGTGTTGGTTTCTAGGGGCAAATTTGTCATGTGCTTCGTGACACAAGCAAGTTAGTGTATGCTGAATTTATTGGCGTGGGTGTAAAGCCTTTCTGTGTACAATACGCACAACATATACGTTCTGGACAAGGGGTTATGTAGTTTAAGTTGAAACAAATAGGACACGT